TCCATTTGCACATGAGGAAACTGAGGTCAGAGAGGTTAAGCAACTTGCCCAGGGTTATGCACCTATTAAAGGCATAGAGCTGGGATTTGAACCCAGGTGGAACTCCAAAGCCTATGCTCTCCTCAAAGCCTGTGTTTTCCCTTTTGAAGTCACAGTCTGCCACCCAAGCAGAATTTGACAAAATTCATCTCGAAAATGGTAGAGTAGGGAGAGCGGGAGAGTGGTGCTCTGAAAATAACATTCATTTCAAAGAGGAAACAAGTATTCTAATCCCAGTTTGTCACTGAATCGCTGCAAAACCCCACAGCCCCTTACCTCTCTCCACCTTCTTTCTCTGTGTCTATAACAGAAATAAAAATGTACCTCACAATAATTTTCAGAACTGTTCGAGAAATAAAATGAGAAAAGCTATGATAGTGTGATGAAAATATAAATGATTGTGATCATATCTAGCCCAACTCACAAACTAACACTTCCTTTTCTAAGTTTTACAGTTACGACTTCAACAGAGAAGGACCCAGGAACAGCTGGCTAACCAAGGCATAATACCACGTGAGTACCTGCATCTCTTATTTACTGATATGGTACAGTAAGTTCATGCTATTTGGGAGCTGGAAAGTGCCAAAGAGGTCATTTAGTCTAAGCCAAAGTATTGGTCTCCCAAGATCCTCACAGAATCTGTGTCAATAGAGATCCCAGACCTTGGATGCTCTGCCCCGACTGCCACCTACTCACGTGCAGGGGGCTTCCCTCTAATGATACAGGTTATGCCTAAAATGCCAATGTGGTGGGTTTACTCTTAGGGTAAACACAATTCACTATGAGCATCCCTTACCCTTCTCCTACTTTTAAAATTGCATATAATTACTATTTTTTCCAGAAGCATCCATCACATTATCTTTTTCTCACCTCTTAGGTTTCAGTTTTGTTTGGGGTATTTGAGTCCACGATTAATTGAATATTGTTAAGAGTTTCCTTTCTGAAAGATTGAGTAGCAGTACCATTCAAGCATAAATGGTATAATATTGAATCACTGGCCATAATCTGAGTCAAAGAAGGATTATCATGTCTTTTAGAAATTTCCCCCCCCATTCAGAAGTTAAACCTATCTCTTGGTTATCTATGGAAATAAGAATAAGGGTGCCCTGGATGAATGAACTCACAGTTTAAGCTTCTTCAGGTCATACATACTAACTTCCTCCTCCCAAAATTTAAAAATTAAGATCCATAATGACTCTTGCAGAAATCCAAGTCCCGATATAATACTGTTATGACTATTGCTTCAGAGTTAAGCAACAAGCAGAAGTTTGCCCTTGACAAAGGGTCTTGTGGTTAGTGATATGGGAGCCCTTAGTCTAGAAATCTCAGGCCTTTTCTTTTGTGACTCAAAAGTAACTCTTTGTTAATGTCTGAGCCCTACAAACAGTAAGTGACCTCATAGAGGAACAACTTTTTTAAAGCTTTGCTAAGCATAAAAGAAACAGCTCACCCTGCATTTTCAAGGATGCCCAAAAACAACATTTACAGCTATATGAGAAACCAAAGGAGTAAGTCTGTGTGTGACTGTTTCATCTTCACCCTCCTGTGGAGGTGCTGAAGGCAGAGAGAAAACAAAGGCCTGCACATGTCAGGTCAGGTAAATACAATTCCACTCAAAGCTGATAATATATACATCCCCTCACTGCTGTTTCTTTCTCCTTAATTCTGGAAAGGTAAATGGAGCAGATAGACTTAGGAACTTTTGTTCAGCCCAAGTTGTTCACAACTCATTTAAAGTTCAACCCATATGCTTAAATATTCTGCACCTGGGTCTTACAGCTGGCATTTGGATGAGAATAAGCTTTTTTTCTTAGGTTTATGGGATTGAATTTTGGGGAATCAGGAAAAACACCCAATAAAGATAGAAAATAACCCTATGATAACATTTTTAAATAACACCTCTCATGTACATGGTGTTAATCAAATATCCATTTGTGTAGCAGAGGCCAATGGAGATATAATATCTTGTTCTCAAGACTTTCCAGAATCAAATAGTGTAGATATTAATGAAATACTGCTTAACAGAAATTTTGCATTCATAATCCACTGCATCATTAAGATAACTTCTGGGGAAAAAGTTATGCTAATAATAAAATGATTTTAGTTTTTATTTCAACAAAATGATAAAGGCATTCCCTGGTCTTCAGCTCCTCTCAACTAGGCTTTCCAAGGGTGTAGATTGTTCAGTGGAAAAGTGTCCAAGCCATGCCAGGCACACACTGCAGGTTCTGCCTGGGCAGACCTTTTCTACTTAGCTCTTCTCAGAAGTTAGACCCAGGATGAATCTATTCACCTGATGATGGTTTAGCCTCCTCGAGATTAAATGTGCAACCTTCATGCAGTGCAGAGCAGCGCGTTTGCTCAGGCACCTAAGGGAGTATGTGTAAATACAAATGATCGGGAGAGGGAAAGAGAAGCCAGGGGTCTCAGGGTCTTTTCAATTCAATTGAATTAAACGTATTTTATTATAAACCAGTCTATGTGCAGGGTACTGTGCCAGGCCCTCTAGGGGCAACAAAAATGAGTAAGATGGTCCTTCAGAGAGATTCAAGATTATAGGGGAAAAGGTGATAAGGAACAAACATAATTATAATTAAGTGTGGAATTCATTATGTTCCATAAGAGGACTTTTTTATTCCTTCATTCTATTATTTGAATTTTCGAAACAGAAGGAAAGAGGAAAGCAAAGGAGGGAGAAAGGAAGGAAGAAAAGTTATTAGTTCTCAGAGATGATCTAATTCTGTGACTCCCTACTTTGTTCTAATTGTTAAAGAGATAACACACGCACACACATGCACGCACACACGCACACGCACGCATGCACACACATGCACACGCACACACACGCACACGCGCACACACATGCACGCACACACGCACGCACGTACACACACGCGCACACACACGCGCATGCACATGCACACGCACACATGCATGCACACACGCACACGCGCACGCACATGCACACGCACACACATACACACGCACGCTGGCTGGAACACTGTCAGGGGCCTCCTCATGCCCTCCAGTAGCCCCCTGAGAAGCCTCTCTAGAATGCCAGTTCTCTTCGGAATAGATTTTGAAAACTCCTGACCTGGTCCAATCCCCCATTGTCTTTTACGTTCATGAAACTGAAGTTGAGAAGGGCTAAGAGATTTTTCAAATTTCCAAAGCTAGGTCTAAGGTCATCCCATTTTCTACAGGTTTTTATTTATGAGAATTTAAATGGCATGTAAGAGAAAACTACTCATAAAAATCTCACTTTATTCATAAAATCTGAAATAATCACAATCCCCCACCCAAAATTTTAGAAACTTGTTATAAATTGCCTAAATTCAAAGCTGATGGCCAAGTGAGTTAAATTGTCCTCAAGTTACTATCAATAGCAGTACTATTTTTAACTGGTAACAGAAACACCTGCCATCCTTTGGCAGAATGAGTCTCGAGTTTTACATGAGGTTAAACTCTCCAGGGCTTGTGTATTGCAAGAATGCAACCCCCTCCTAGTGGGGGAGCCGGGCCAGAACCTGATTCCCACCTAAGCCCCTTTCCTCAAATGCTCAAAAGAAATCACTTGACCTTTAAAAGCACTTACATTTCTATCATAAAGCATTTTGTAGCCAAAAAATTCAGTTGTAATTTGGAAAATTAAAAAAAAATAAAATTAAAATGTGTGAAAATGCCAAGGATAACCCAAGGATTTTAACGAAATGGCTTCAGGTTCTACATCGTAGTCTATGCTTCACCCTGAGCAACACTGAATGAAAAATGCCACTGACTTAGCTATATGGCAGATATCACTTCAAATTATTGATTAAATTATAAGATTTTTCTCCCATTGGCTCTAATGAGCTGAATGGTGTGTAATTTTTAGTTGGCTAGGGTCAAATGGGTTGAATTTTCCAAATGGATTTTGGAAATCCCTTGGATTTCTTCCCTACCTCTTCCTGGGCATGAATTGTGTGAGTTTTGAGGTTGCAGCTGAGTAACGAACAGTCCACAGCAACCAGCAAGAAGCCTTCTTTATAATAGGTCCCCCTGAATCACTTCTCTTAAGCATTTGCTTTGGTCTCATTTGCGTGCATTATGGTTTTAGGATTTTCCCTATTCAGGTGCTTTGAACAAATTTAAAGCCATCATCTCTTGACTTCTAGTCAAGAAAGGCAGGGTTCCAAGGCCAGAATAGAGCTCCTAGAATGACTTTAAACAGTGGGAAAAAAGTTCTCGGGCCAACTGTGGACCCAAGCCAGATCCTAAGATTGCATTCACATTTACAATATCAATTTTGAAATTCACAATTTCAAAATTCAAAATTTCAAAACTTTAAGGACTTATCGTTTGGACTTATCTCCAAAATCCCACCTCCGAATCTCAAAGTGGAGATTTCAAATGGTTGACTTTGCCACCATCAACCAGGATTCAAAGGGAACATCTGCATTGTCCCTCTCTTTGGGGCTCAGAGCTGCAGGAGGACATCAGGTTTCTCTACTTTCTTGTGGCTTTAGGACAGAGTCAACCTCCTCCCCTCATAGACCTATGAGTCTTGGGGCTTGTCATCATTTGTCATGGTAATAGCACTTCATCAAATATTTATTAACTGTCTGCTATGAGAAAGGATCTGAGGAACACACAGAGACGAGTCAGACATGATTTCTATTTCAAGGTGCTTACAGTTGAGAAGGGGTCCCAAATCACCCCATTGAATTGTCCCCATTAACAATTTTGGACAACTTCACCCCACTACATGAGAGTGGGTATCTGGGAAGACTGAAAGAAATTACTTTTTCTCTCCCTCTCCCTTTACTACTAAACAGTGAGTCTAATGGGGTTGAACCTAGAGGTGAGGGAAGGAAAGCTTCTCTCATTCTCCTGGAATACAGATGACAAGATTAGAGAAGTAAAATGGATTATAGAGGCCCTGGGGTGCCGAGAGGCTGCTTCTGGTCCACAGAGTCTCAGAGGAGGCCACGGCTGGCCAGAATGAAATGTCTGGGCAGTTTGGCTCCATGATCTGATCAATGTGAATGGATTTAAAGGTACAACGATCTGTCTATGAATGGTGCTGCCTTTATTTTTTTTGCAGACTAATCCAAGCTACAGCAGCCACATACTTACTGCAAAGCCTTGGTAAATCCTTGAATTCTGTGATCCTTCTGAGTGCCTGGGGCAGTCCCTGCACCCACACCACATGCAGCTTCATGATAGTCTTGAGAAGTTGACTGGGCAGAGTCTCCCTCTCTTTTCTCAGTGCATTCATTTGACTTGGCTTTTCCCCACAGCACTCTACCACACACTGTTGGCTGTTTGAGCAGAACACGGCACAGGGGATTAATCTGTCTTGTCTCTTCCCTTTCTTCTAACATCTCCAATTCAGAGATAGAAAGAAGTGCCCTGGATTTTTATGCCAAGCCCATATGGGTCAACAATCCTAACTTCTTTCTCTTCCCCCATCTCTCCTTCAATTTTTCAGTTCCTTATTCCTTAGAATTTAGAAAACCAGTCATTACAGGCACACTTTGAATTTGTTTTTCTACCCTTCTGAGAAATCCCAAAGTATTCACGGAGGTTGCATCAAATTCTCCAATTGGGCGAGCCAGGTCTTAAATACTACAGAGCTACAATGAAAAAATGCACTGTTTGCAGACCCCTAAGATGATCATTTGGGTAGTGAATAAGCAATTTATTACCAGCCTAATGAGAGAATATAACTTCCAAAGCTTTCTCACTTATACGTAGCATGTACTCATTCCATTAGCTCAGAAGAAAAGTGCTCTTGATCCAATCCGTCTTTAAAAGCAAGACAAAGTGAGGACAAGCTTTACTTCAGCCCGTTGTGTAAGTGGGGAACGGAGAGCAGAGGAGGACTGTCAGACTCGTTCAAGGTTATACCAAAAATAGACAGCGAAGCAAGGTCAGAGCTCCAAGGGACAGTGCCCAAGACTTCTTTAGTCATACCCATCACTGCCTTAGGTCTTATGTTTGAAACAGTTTCATCTTCCCCCCAAAGAACCCTATATATATATTAATTATTAACCAAGTTGCTAAGACTCTAGGTAGCAGCAACAAAAAGTGCTCATTTCCTTGTTCTGAGTAGCCCTTCGCTGGGTAGCCGTACCCTTCTTTTTCAGCTTTTTAAAACACTGGCAATCCATTGCTCCCTTTGTGAACACCTGGATTTTCAGGAGTCCTACATCAGGATCTTGCAACAGGCCTTATAAACTCCATAGCAGTGGTTTTCAAACTCCTGCATCAGAATCACCAGGAAGGTTTGTTAAAACATGGATCCCTGGGTCCCACCCCCAGAGTTCCTGATTCTGCAGGACTGGGGGTGGGGCCCAAGAATTGGAATTTCTAAAAAGTTCCCAGTTGATGCTGAGGATTCTGGTCCAGGGACCACACTTGGAGAACAGGGCTCTCGTTGCCACCCCAGGCCTCTGGCTCTTTGATTCTGCCCCTTGGTCCTTATTCTTAAGAACAATGGAGCTGGATTCCCTCCCAGCCGGTAGTAAATGGTCCCCTTGAGAAAACCCAGGCCCTGCTACAGGCACAGCCCCACCTCTGCTGCCAGAGCTGCTGCCCAACACGGCCACCCTACCCCACTCTGAAGACTCAGGCCCCTGTCTTAATGGAGTTCTCAGGAGCCCCATGGCCTATGTTTTTCCTTTCTCTGGAATCTTGTTGAAGGCCTGAAGTTTGAGTGAAGAGCAGGGACTGCAGGAGGCCTGTTCTTATCTCAGGATCTTTTTCTGAGTTCCAAGTAAGCAAATGTCCACACACACAGCTGACCCAAATTAGTCAGAGCTGTGGGGACAGAAATGATAACAGCCCGCAACTAAACGCTGAGGCGAGAACATGAGTTCCCCTGTGAGAAGCGATTAATCTTCCCCCCCGGATTGATCTTCCTCCAGGGGGGACAAGTTGGATGTGTGGCTGACTGAATTTACAACTGTATTTCAATTTGAAATCACATGGACTTATTTTTTAATTTAGAAGTCCAAATTCCTTTTCAATCTTAAATGTCAACGTCCCTTAAATACAAAATTTTGCCATTTGATACGCCCAGGGCTGGCAGCAAAAGAGGTCCTTTGTGTATTTTCCAAAAAGTCAACTGGGGGCTGAGGGGCATCATGGCTTTTGCTGGTCCTCAGGGGAGGTGGTAAAAACACATTCTCTGGAGTCACAGAAAAGGCAAATCCCATCCCCAGGGCTATCTCAGAGTAGTTTTCCATAATGTGACCCCAAGCCAAGACTCTAACACCCCTTAAACCCTGAAGCAAAAAGCATGTGGTACAATGCAGTGCATGGACCTCTTTGGCTTTCTTCCCAAGTCCTTGTTAAATGGACATAGCTTCTCCCACCCTATGGTAGAAGGTTCCAGAAGACCTTTGTCCTCCTGGCATCAGAGAATGGACCGTGTGAATCATTTTACAGGGGAATTATTCACACCAAGAAGTGATGAATTGTAGCTCTGCAAAGCTGAGATATAGGACATGCAATGTTTCTTAGAACAATTAGTAAGCTCTACTAATAGGAGAGCCTGAGGGACAAGAGAACCAGATAAATTCCTCCTAAGTCCCAAGGCCAGTTAGAACCAATTGTGTGAGGAATGTCAGAGATGTCTCAAGATGTATTCATACTGTTCCTCGGGGAGCTTCTTGAGAAAAAGGGTAAGTTTTTCTTTTTAACCACCTAATAAGGCCACCCTAAGATCAATTTATTTTCTGGATTATGTAGGTAATTAACCCACACCAATATAAGATCCAACTAAATGACTAGCAAGCAATAGGGTAGAAGTAAAGACCTACTGGAACAAATTGTACAGATTCACAAGGGCCCAAAAGGCTTCAGACTTTGAGTGATCTGGTTGCCTGGGGGAAATGGAAGCTGCTTTTCAGAACACACAACATAAATTCTAACTGTGATCAAATGCCGAAAAGACAGGGCTCCTTATTAAAGATGTGACCAGACCCAAATCAAAGACAATACATGAGCAGCACAGTAGAGCTGCATATTTATTTCTCAGAATCACCGAGTAGGGAGAGGTGGGGGAAGGGGTCGTTTACAAGGGGCAAGTTTGGCAGACAAGGCCATTTTAGGAGTGAAAGGCAATTGATCAAGGAGAAACTGGCAAGTCAGTCTCCAGATCAGTGGGAAATGTGATAGTCAAACAACACATTCCTTTTTTCCACCTATAAGAGAAACTGCAGTCTCTGATCACAGTGAGGAGAAGGGTGTTTGCCAACCCTGGTACAATGCAGGCAGCTGGTACTCTTCTGCAAGTTCCTTTGGTCAATGCTGTTAATGTTGAGGTGAGGCAGGCAGATTTATCGAGAGCATGCCTAAGTCACTTCTCAAGCAGTGTCCTGAATAGAGGAGAATACGGTCAACCCCATTTGTGGTAGCACCATGACTACAACCGTCTCCTCTTGATGTCCAACAAGTCCTGCTGAAAACTGTGCTCAGATTTAGCATGGTTTTAAGGGCTGAATGAGGAACACACACACACACACACACACACACACACACGCACGCACACACGCACGCACACACCCCCAAGTGCCAATATGGCCAGAAACCTAACTTTTATGCTGACCAAAATTTGATAGGTTCATTGTCTGCAGCTTAAGAGTGGACATCTGGGCTGGCCCGGTGGCGCACTGCTACAGTGCGCCGCTTGGGAGCACGGCGGCGCTCCCGCTGAGGGTTCGGATCCCACATACAGACCGGTTCCCGCTCACTGGCTGAGCGAGGTGCGGCCGCAACACCGAGGGGTGCGATCCTGTTGCCGGTCCCGGTCCGGTACGGGCGCGACACTGAGGGTTGCGATCCATTGCCAGACACGAAAAAAGACAAAAAGAAAAAAAAAAAAAGAGTGGACATCTGCTAGAGTAATATTAAAACTCTGGGTCTTGCAATTCATCCACTTGTCCAGATTTACAATTCAAGGGGGAAAAATCAAGGCAATTCTGTAACCTCTGATCAACCTCATCACTTGTCATGAGACTTGATTGTTTGTGGCTCTTTATTCAGGTTGCTTCTGAAACCAATGCAAAATGTAGAATTTTGCTGAAAGATATTCTGCTTCTTTGCTCGGTCAAAAGAATTTAGTATATCATCATGAAGATGGAAATAGTGATGAGGAGCATGTAGAAGAGAGAGCAGAGGCCGGTGGTCAGTCCCATTGTTTATGGCTGCTGTGTGTTCTGTATGCCCGACCAGTGCCTATGTCTACTGGTTGTTCACATTTAAATATCACACCTTGGGGCCAGCCCCGTGGCGCACTCGGGAGAGTGCGGTGCTGGGAGTGCAGCGATGCTCCCGCCTCGGGTTCGGATCCTATATAGGACTGGCTGGTGCACTCACTGGCTGAGCGCGGTGCAGGTGACACCAAGCCAAGGGTTGCGATTCCCTTACCGGTCACAAAAAAGACAAAAAATAAAAAATAAAATAAATAAATATCACACCTTGAAAGAGGTTAGGGCTGTCAGAGGACCTACTCTCCTAGCCTAAACTGTGTGAACCTGGGCAAGTCAACCCATTTCTGTGACCTCAGTTTCCCCATTCCGTTCAGGGTTGGAGTTGGATTTCACTGTCTTCATGGGCCCTTCCAGCCCTCAAAGTCTGATTCTCTGCTTCTCACTCAACACCTTAGTTGCATGTTCCTGAGCAACCAGCCACCTACTTCATTCAAAGTACAGTCCCTCCTACAATACGGGCCCCATGCCCAAACACACACACTCAGACCACAACCATCCACCCAGCTTTTTGCACTAAGAGCAGATCAAAGTCAACAAGGGTCTTAGTTACCCCAGCTTACTCCTCTCCCCCAAACCGGAGTTTCTTTTGCCCACTGTTTTCCATCAGCCCCTCTATTTGCTCGGGAACTTGGAATGCCCTGCCTCCACCACGTCTTCTCCTGGTGCACATTCTGCCTCTGCTGTTCCTCCTGTTTTAGGCCGAAATTCTACCTTCCTGTGCCTCCTGTGGCTTCAGGGCAGCTGGCATTCTCCAGGCCTTTCCTCTGTCATTGCTTGAGTCCTAATAAAAGCAATCACTTACATGCTGTGCATAGCTCAGCAAGTGCACCAGCAACTTCTGTGATACTGTCCAGTGCCCTTAACACAGCTTCCGCTCATGTCTCTGTCTTTCTGTTTCAGCACTGAAAAGTCCGACTGAATTCCATGAGCAAAGAAAAAATTTGGATAGCGACAAGGTAACTTTTGCAAACTTCCTTTTCTGAACTTAGACCACAGGTTATGGATCTCTGAATGCTAAGCTTTGCTAAGGCATGTAGAATTTCTACAACAAACTCAATCTATTTGCCAGTTCCCTGCCCCCACACCATATGGAATCTTACTCCTGTTAACTGAAAACTGTGGAAATGGGATCGACTACATTAGCTTTGAAATCGCTAAATACTTTTAGCTTTTAAAAAAGTCCCCAGTCTTTCTGATGTTGGGGAAAATCACAGCAAGGATACACTGGAGGTCAAAAAGACTTTAAAATGGGGAGTAAAAGTTGGTTTGCAAGCTGCCTTACCGTTTATTACAGTCCTTTCTTAGCAACGATCAGATTTTCTTAAATCCAATTTATGGTAAAGCAGCTTCTTAAAGGCAAGGAATTATGTTTCTTTTCTTTTTTTTTAACCATTTGTGGTATAAAATTGGCATATATTCTGCACCTTCATAGCAAATCTCTGCAACCTGAATTTATCCATAATGTAAATACAAGGGTACTTCAAAAAGTTTGTGGAAGAATAGAATTAAAAGATAATATGACTCTTTCTATGAACTTTTTGAAATACCCTCATACTACTTAGCAAGCACAGCAGTTTCAGTGAGAAGGGAAGGTGAAGGGGTTGTCTGTCTACTGGGGTTTCTTCACCTAAGAGCGCTAGCTCTAGCCTTGCGACTTGTCTGTGGGTAGAAAGAAAGAGCAAGGCTCGGTAACTCTTCACAGTAGCTCATGAGTGGCTGTGATCCCTGCTACCTGGAGGATACCCCAAAATAGCAGAATACCTCTATCAGAACTAGAGTAATCCCAGACCTTTCTCAGGGGCCCAATAAGAGATCTGTATAGTGACATAAAAACCCAAAACTAAAAATCAGGGACCTGGGGTCCCGAGTTGGCCATGCCACAACCTATATCGTCCCTGCATACAGCTCTACCATAAAGACGATGAGACTCGGGAAATGATCTATCTCTAAATGCCCTTTCAACTCATGGTGAGTAATTTCACATGTCCTAAAAGAGAAATCAGGCAAATAACAGGAGAGACCATAAGTTGTCGCGTTACATCAGCTGGATTTAGGCAACATTTGATCTCTGACCTTGGATAATTCTGCAATTGTTTTAAGATGAAATGGAATAGGACTGATTATAATACAAGCAGCTTTGTATCATCACTGTTTTGTTAATATTTTATTAACGTGTACCTGCCCGACCCTTGAAGTCTTTAAGTTTGTAGACCTGAGGTGGACCCAAGTTTTTTACCACTTTATCTTAATTTCCCATCCTCAGATTACCGAAGGGGCATTTGTGAGAGTTCCTTCATCAAAACGTGGGAAACCAGAGATATTTGTATGTTCCATTAGTCATAAAAAAGAGTACTTTTTCCTTTGAGAGAAACTGAGTTTTTTGGGTTTTTTTTTTAAGTTAAAACTAGGTGATTCTCCTTCCACAGACTGAAGATTCCCTGAAGCGCAAGGCCAGAAACAGGTCCAGCCGAGCCGATTTGGTTAATATGCACATACTCCAAGGTAAGGCACACGACATCATAAACCAGGAGATGCCTGTTGAATAGTGGGCCATTTTCCCAGAGTTCTTTCTCTCTGTATGGTTGCTAAGCCCTCTTAAAAAGTCCCACCTGTCATTACAAAGAGGTAGTTTCAAGCAGTCATCTTATCATTTAGACCATGAAGAAATTCAAATTGGGAAGCCCTGTCATGGTTACAAAGGTTTGATTGAGACTTGGGTTCCAATCTCAGCTGTGCCATTTCCTAACTCCAAGCCCTGAGCAAATCACACAACCTCTCAGAGAGGGTAGAAAATGTCTAGCACATGCTGCCAATTATTATTCACCTGGATCATCATTCACTTTGGAATGGGATCAGGGCTCCATGGCTGCTTCCATATCCGATAGGTAACTCGTTGATTCTGCTTTGCCAATGCCTTTAAGTTCTGGTGTGCAGGGGATGGCCATCTGTGCAACCTGGTGCAGGTCAAAGCCCACTTCTAACTGGGAAAGCCTCCTCTATGTCAAGGAGAGTGGAACAGGGTGAACACCTAATCTGCCTCCATATTCTGACATCTGAGAGAGGCTTGCATGCCTGCTCTTTGAGTTGCCTTCCCTGGGATGGGAATTTTCCAGACCACTCATGCCCACCTTCAAAGAGGTCCAACTCCTACTTTGACATTTTAGCTATAAATATTTATTCATTGAACACACACTACATGGGATGTCTGCTGGGGTTTGGTTGCTATGCCAGACCTTGTGGGGACAATGACGAATAGGACACAGGTATCTGCCCTCAGAGGATTCTTACAGTGTTGCAGAGGAGCAAACATGAGAATGGGCATTTATAATCCATCATGAAAAGAGAGGAAGTGCATGGTGTCGTGGGTACACGAAGGAGGATCGGATCGGAGAAAAGAGGCATCTAAATCAGAACAGACAGGGAGAGAGCATGGATGTGAGCTAGAATGTGAAGGCTGGGCCAGGGAGAGAAAGACAGAAGAGTGTTGTGAGCTGAGGGAACACACACACACTAAGAATGTATGTCTTTGTATGTATGTTCTCCAGAATGTAGATTTCATTGCAAGAATGTACAGTGGCTTTAAGTAGCATGAATGGTCCTGAAATATCATGGAAATGGTGAATCTTGCTTCTTTGATCGAAATCATTTCTGATGCATTCTTGCTTCCAAAGGCTGACCCTTTTCCAGCCCTGGAATAGGTGGGATTTTATCCAATGGAAAACTGTTTTCAGGGTAGGGAAGAGACAGGAGGACAATGTAGAACTCAAGGGAAGTGTTATGTTGGATGGGAGACTTTGACCCAGATGAGGCAGCCAAAGGATGCCAAGTGTCTTAGGAACAGCGGAGCAGCTCTCCAGGGAAGGTGACAAAATTCTTACCTCCTTTGCAATGGTGTCTAAGAACCTAGAAGCAGCTGCTGTGTCAGCACAAAATCACAGCTGCACAAATAATCCAAGAAATGCCATTTCAAATGAAATACAGACTTTTCAACAATCGAGTTAGCAAATAGAAATAAATAGTGTGTGTGACATGGGTATGGGAAGTACGTGCCTTCCCATACGCTGCTGGTGGGAGTGCCACTGGGTCAACATTTCTAGAGGGCAATTTGGCAAAGTCTATCAAACTCCTTAAAAATGTGCCCACCCTTTAGCCTTGTAATCTATTTTCTAGTATTTTATCCAGAAAAATAATCAGGCATACAAAAACTGATGTACAATGGTGTCTATCATGGAATTATTTTAGAGGGTGGAACATTGAGAATGGTGAAATGTCCAACAGTAGGGAACTGGCTGAATAAATTATGGATCATTGTTTTGTTGAATACCGTGCAGCCACTACACACAAGGCTTTGAAAGAATAATGATTTAATGAGAAAAGGTTTACAAGACAATGGTTAAAGAAAAGAGTAGAAAACAAAACTAAAATTACAGCCAAATTATGGGGGAGAATATATATACTTAAGCACAAACTGTGTTTACAGTCAGATTATAGGAAGAAAAAATATAGACCTAACAATAAATATAAATAACTAAGAAAGACACCCAAATATTAAAAATAGCTGACTCTTTAAGTGGAGAGTTTCCTGAGGCTTTTATTTTCTTTAACATACTCTTTTTTTAGCAGTTTTCACACTTAAGACAATGAATACATAGTAATGCTATAATCAGAAAAGCATAAGAAATATTGTTCCTTATATCATTGTGGTCTTGAATTAAAATATCAGTTTGTGAAGCTGAGCAGTCCCTGGTTCAGTTCCATGTCTATGGTGTCTCTCATGAAATCTCCTCTTCTCCCCAACAGAAATTGAGAACTAGCCCCCTGGAGCACCAATGGTCTGCTAGAAAGAAAATGACCCTGCCCCCCAGGAGTTCATCATCACCTAATTTCAGAAGCAGCGAGATGCAGGGCCAGGCAAAGCGAAGGGGATCTGTAAGAATAGAAAGAGTTAGGAAGGCTTTATGCTGAGACCTAAAGAGGAGTAGGATGTTGGTGGTTGGAAGTAGGTGGGAAGCATTTCAAGGTGGGGAAATGAGGTAAGCACAGGGACAGAGGTGAACTCGGTAAGAGGTGGGGTACGGAAGAGGTAAGACCAGGCTCCCTGCAGTGGGAGGTCTGGGATGGAGAGCCACAGGTCGTGAAGGGAGGCGAGTTCAGTCTGAGGCATCCTTGGAAAAGCAGGCTGTGAGATATGGACGGAGAGTAGTATCTTGTAGGGAGACGCAAGAAAACAGTATACTTTCTAAAGATTAGTCCTGTGTTAGTGTGTAGGATGGATCACAAAGATCTCTGGGGCAGGGGGTCCAGCAAGAAGTCCTTGCAATGACCTCTGAGGGATGATTTGGAGAGGATTTAGGCTTAGGGGCCCCATTCTTTGGTTTGCAGTACTGGGAAGCGCTTGGCACACACAACTCCTAGATACGCCCGACCTGTTGCAACCAATTAGACATCCCCAGATATCTCTTGTATGGAAAATTCTAGATCAGTGCCAGATACAAGGTTTGGGTTAGTAGGTTGATAATGATAGAATAATGGGGCTGGGAGGCTTGTCTGTAAATATCTCACCTTCTAAATTTGCAAAGTCGAGAGCAAAACTGAAAACCCTTAACAGATCTTAACTTATAGTTCTCCATATAGAGCGACAGGTTGGCTATGTTCTACCCCAAGTGCTTCCACAAAAATAAGTCAGGGCCCAACCTAAAGAAGAAGTTTGGTGTTAGCCATATGGGGGTGGTTTTAGGACTCTATATGTGACCTTTCTCACGCTGAAATGATGAGTAACTGCCTGTTGAATAAATTCAATTAAAAAAAAAAAACTCTTTTTAATTAAATAACCGTTTCAAAGAAATTTTTTTTTTCTTTTACAAATGACCTGGACATTTGACTCAGTCAGCATCACAGCATTAAGTCCAAAACCTTTAAAAAGTCATACTATTGCTACTAACTAGATCAGCAGATAATATTTACTGCAGGTTCAGCCTGTGCCAGGCACTATACAGACTGAATGTGCATCCGAATGCTGTAGCTTAGGGGTCAGACAAGCTACACGGGCCGCATGGACTGCCTGCTTACAAAATCGCCAAACTGCACATTTTTTTATAAATCCTCACATAGCAAGTTTCTCTAACTTTTCTCTGTGCCTCTCTGTTTGCCTTTATTTGGAAGTGTCTAGTCTGGTGCTAATCCCTGTGAAGTGATGATGATTGCATTGAGAAATTATTAGGATGGTAGAGCACGATGTGACACAATGCTTTGTAACCACAAGCCAAAAAAAAAAAAAAAGCCATCAAATTCTAGAACTGATCCTTTTCATTTCGACCCTTTAGCCTCCACTGCAGAGAAGTCCATTCCAACCACTCAGATGAAGCTGAAAAGAGCCCGACTCGCAGATGATCTCAATGAAAAAATTGCTCTCCGACCAGGGCCGCTGGAGCTGGTGGAGAAGAACATACTCCCTGTGGATTCTGCTGTGAAAGAGGCCATAAAAGGTAGTTAGAACATATGACATGCCTCTCCCCGGTGCTCCCGAGATCCGAGGGCAGCTGGAGTTCTGACATACCAGAAACTTTCAGGATGAGGGCCTCTTGCTAGACAAGAGCCACTCCACGGGTTGCTGTCCCTACATCTCCCTTATAACCAGTGGTCCTGGGATAAGGAAGAAACTCCCGTTCACTCACCCTCCAAAATCAGATTGACACAGTCCAATTTTGCTCTAGTCAGGCAGCTTGAGAACCTCAAAACATCTCACCTACAGGGTCCCTTCGCTTGGAAGTCATGATCCTCCTCGGCTGAGGAAGGCACCCTTTGGCCTTCCTCTTCCAAAGAGGGGTGGACCAGTATGGTGGAAAGAGCATAGCCCTGGACTGGAAGACCTGGACTCCAAGCCCAGTTTGGCTCCTATGCTCTGGGGCCTACCCAAGCCACTTTTCCTCTCTGAGATGGAGGTGGCAATCCCCGTCCCCCCAGCTCATAGGCTCTTGGAAGTGAGGATCATGTCATACGTCACATGGGAGAACTTTGACCAATCTCATGGGTTCTAGGAGGTCAAAGTGCAAATTCCCAAGGAGGAGGCATAAGCATTAATTCTGTTGTAAACTGAAGAAAATCATTTTACAGACTTTTTGAACAATCCACACCAAGTGGGCCCAAACTGCTTGCAAGTACTGAATTCATTCATGTAGGGTTTGGGGTGGAACCTGGAAAAACTGCCAGAAGGATGAAAGGGAAGCTTGATATTTCTATAGGTAAACTTACTTTCTTCTGGTTATACCCACAAACAGCTCTGAGAACTGTTATAGATATTGACAAGCAATATATATTTAAATATTTTGACACATTGTCAAAAAGGATGTATAAGGGAATTTTATCCAAAACCAAGTTTATTATGAGACTTATCCTCAAGTTTATCCACATCTTGAAATTTTGCTCTCATGCACCCATTCTGAGGCCACTTGAATGCTGTCTTTGGAACCTGTAAATATAAAAATATCAACTCCAGGAAAAGCAATGTACTCATTCGTCGGTGCCCACTTAAATATCCCATTGTGCTTTTCTCTCTTCTTCACTGTCTCTCTCCTTGCTAAATACCCTGTACCTTTGAACTTGGCCTAGATACTCAAACAGTGTGCTATCTCAGTCTCTACTCTGATAAGAACTCAGACTGGAAAAGTCTCCATGGGGCATCTCTTATCGTTTCAAAACATTCTATTCCATGAATGTAAATTTATTGTTTATTTTTGTATGATAGGCAAAAGTCTTCCTTTTAATTTGCATTCTTTGGTTTATAGTGAGATTATATTTTTTCATGTGATTGTGCGTCACTGGCTGTGCATGACCTTTCCCCATTTTTCCTGCTGGGCATGGTCCCCCCCTTACTGCTTCGTATATGCTATTTATGTCGGGGAAAAAAAATGCTAATCCTCCATCTGCCATAGGTATCGCACATCCTTTCACCAGTCTGTCCTTCGCCTTTTGATTTTGTGTACAGTGAATTTTACCTGTAGCAGTTTTTAATTTCTGTAAAGTAAATCTAGTCGTCTTTTTCTTGGTAGTTTCTAAACTTGTTTTTATTGGAAATATTTCCTAGCTCAAGAATATAGAGTTTATTCAC